CATTTTTTCCTGTTTAGACAGTTGAAAACAACTTAGAACTGAGCTTGAACTAATTCTTCCTTTTCTGTGATTCAGAATGAGTGTGTGCCCCTGAGTCTTGAAGTTCTTTATAATCCTGGTTTTCAGTGGTGATTAATCTGTACTTTAAATCTTGTAGTCATAACCTGCTTGATTGGAACTGGATGATCTCAAGGTCCTTTCCTACCCTCACTATTCTGTGATTCTATGATTAACATGGTGGAACGTGTCAGACCATGAGGAGGTTTGGGAAATGCATTTATTATTACAAAAAGAAATGAGCTTTTGAGAATAACATTTAGAGGACAGGTGGAGAGGGAATACAAAATAGGAGTTCATTGTGCAGGAAGAAGGAGCAAAAAGAGGAGCTGTGGAAAAGAAGAGAGATGAATACAGAAGACACCTTAGAAAAAGGATAGTTGCTGATGACTTCTAAGACTGGGGAGAAGAACCTGGTGTCTGAAGACAGACTGGTGTTCCTGCCCATGGCAAGGGGCTGGAACTAGATGATCTTTAAGGTCCCTTCCCACCCAAACCGTTCTATGACTCTTAAGGAATAAAGGACAGAAGAACAGGAGGAAGGTACAGTAACCTCCCTGGGTAGCTTAAAACAGAAGAGTGGATTATCCTCTGGAGTTCAGCACAGCTCACAGAAGAGCTTAGATAGCCCTTAATTCCTAATAACAAGGGATTTAATAGCGAGGGATGTAGCTGGCGTGTTCAGACACAGTCACATTTCATCACCCTTCCCCATTAAACAAGACACCATGACTCGGAAATGTGGTCCCCCCCGGCCAGTCTTTACAGGCAGATGTGCTGCAGTAATATGCCAACACATGCCCTGTGCTTGCAGTGTTTCCTTCCCACGTGGCCATAATGAGAGCTCTGCATATAGGAGTTTCTAATTTACTCTTACCCTGAAGGATAACATAAGCAATATGGGATGTCGTTAAACATGGCACATGTTGTTGCTGGGAGCTGCTTTCTCCTTACCCGTTCCATGCTTGAAAACTGATCTGTTTCTTCAAAAGGCTTCTTGTGAAGGGTATAGGAGTTAGTCACGGAGAAAATCTTGACAGGAGTTATGGCAATAACATACTAATAAGAAAGCCCAAAACATAATTGCTGGCATCCAGCCTTACAGTTCAATGTGGGAACTTCACCTTCCCACAGGATGGAGGGAGAGCGTAAACTCATGTACAGCACCTCTTTACATACACAAACAAAAATAATTAGAGTTCATGCGTGTCTTGTACTATAGCTAGCATCAAGCTTTGGCTTTATTCCACCTTTGCTGTTTTCTGTATGAAAAAATAAATGTGTGTGGCCCTGAGTTATAAATATGTGCAATTAAAATCTACCCTATTTGCTCATGAGCCAAAATTGTCCCAGGAGGGGAATTTGGAGAACCCAAATTTATTGTTATGGTTCCTGGATTCTTCTGCTTCTCCGGCTCCAGCCATGGCTCTGGCCAAAACCGAGCTGGAGCAGAGCATTTCTGTTGTGGCATCAGGTACATGGTGTCTAGTGGGGACAACTGACAGAGTCACTGGTGCCATTGGCTTTGTACCAGGAACAGATTCCTCTGTGATGGGAAAATGGAGCCAGATTATGTGCCATTTAAATTATTGCTCTCTGGGCAAATAAACCAAACTCCAGGCTGCCCTCTTGCAGCTTGGGATTTGGTCCCTGGGCTGTTCAGGGTGGTAGGAATGGTGGCAAAGGTGAGCTACGGTGAGCACCCCTAACGACATACAGCTCACCCTTTATCTCAGACCTTCTGGGTTAAATAATCCCCTAAATAACCCTAAAAACAAGCTTATAACACAGTGTTGAAACTTCTCTGTCTCAGGGGTATCTGCGGCGCTGGGCACATGTAATGCATTTTACTGTGCTCATTTGCAGCTTGAATAGCTCGCGGGGGTCAGCAGCAGAGCGCAGACTTTTTCACCCCTTGAGCAATGAAGCATTGAGTAAAAGTTATTACTACCAATTAGTGGTGGCATTATTATTACCAATTAGTGGCTGTATGAAGCAAATCATTAGTCTTAGTTCAGTTATTAGCAGCCAGGTGTTCATGAAACGTGCCATGTGCAGCTTGCACTGTGCCTCAGCGCTTACTGTCGGGGCCAGTCACTGAGTATGTGGCTGGCGACTCTGTGCTGTCCCTGTGTGGGGTTCTGTTGTGTCCCCCCTCAAAAGAAGTGTGTTTGGAGTCAGCGTGGAGGGGGTTTTTGTGTATCCACTGAGTGAATAAATAAGGCAATTTCAATCTCTAGAGAAGTATTTTGAAACCTTTAAGTGTACTGTCTTGATGATGTAAAGCCAAACCTTCAGTTTCTAGTTCTGTTCTTGGTTTGCTGCATTTGTAAGAGCAAAACTGCCAAGTCAGAGAAAGGAAAGTTACAGTGCAAATTGCTCTTGATCCAAAGTATTGTTTCCCAAGGACTCCTATTTTTGAAACCTCTAATACTCACTGTTTCCACATACCCATTAGTTTTGCAAAATAGCTTTGCACAAGTCATTGTAGACAGCAAGCAGCATGAATTGAGCACTATTGAAGAACTTAAATTGCCCTTTCATACTGTGTTATAATTAAAAAAATTAGGAAGTTAATGGGAAAAAAACAATGGTGAATTTGGCCTTATTTACATATTGAACTTGTGTGTTTAACCTCAGTGCATTTTGCAGGAGATTCATAGCTGTAGCTCTATAACTGTATAGAATAGTAAATAAAATAAGAACAACTGATAAAATCCCAATACACTCAGTCCTTACTGCGTAGAATTGACTTCAATCATGTAATCAGAAGAGGCATTAGAAATCTTTTTCATGGTTTTGGGAGTAAAGAGCAGGAGGTTGGAGTGCTGTTTGCTCTCTTGGCCGTTCAGATGTCTTCTTATTTTCAATATTAGTGAAGAAAAGCTTTGAATGAGGATTTGAGGACAGTTTATAGCAAAGGAATTGTAGGAGAGCATCAGGCAGGTCAGGTCAGTTCCAGCACTAGTTGGGTAGGGACATCTGGTGGTGTGATAAAGGAATAATTGAATACTTGCAACTAGAAGTGCAGTTGCATTGGAATGATTAAGGCAAAACCATCATTAAGCTCATACTGTAACTACTTTTCTGTTTCAGTATTGTTCTAGAAACACTCCTGTGTGCGTTTACATTTCAGTTTGTGTATGGTTTTAATTTACTGGAAAGAAAAGGGCCTATTGAGCTGTCAGCTTGCAGACATAGTATGTTGAACTCCCTTAACTCAAAGGGCATTAACTTACAGTCAGTTGTGAGTTTAAAATCAAACTGCTGATACTGGACCGTGGTTCTGTGGATAGAGGGGGTGTATGTGCCGGTGATTCGCTGTGATCTATGGGCAAAGCTGATTTCATTTGTTCTGGTCCATCACTCACCGATTGTTTCAATCCATCTTCCTGTAAAAATATTAGGATAATTTTCAGCTTGTGAATTCCATAGGGAAAGAATCATAAAAAGTAAAATGTTTGCATACCCGTGGTTCCAAACTTCTGTGTTAATTAAAGATACAGCGAGCAATTTTCTGTGCGTGTGTTTGCCCTGAACACCCTGTACATCATATATATGAGCAATATTTGAGGTACAGTCATTTTAAAAGAGAAACTCTTTAAGATGAATTATCTGGTGCTGTGTGAAACTATCTGATATTCATTTAGCACTGTGCACATAGTGATAAAACCAAGTCCTTGGGCAAACACACATGTGGAAGGCCAAACCCTTGGGAAGACCTTCCCAGAAGCTTTTAAAGCTTTTGCATCTTACCAGAGCTTGCCTGCCAGGAGAAATCACGACTTCTTGGCCTATACACATCTTTAATCTCATAGTGCTCTTTCTGCTGTTTGTGTGTAGTCAGCCATTGTGAGCGCATGCTGACCACACATGGTGCCTTGTGGGACACGATGTCATGGGCTCTCAGGAGGGTATGGGCACAGGCTTTCCAGGGACCACTTGGTTTCAGCAGGCAGAAGACAGAGGGTTACGTTCATCCACTCCCACTTAAGAAGCCTTTGCAACCTCTGTCCTGTCTTGTCTTAGAATAGATGTGTTCATGAGAACACATAAGTTGGTAAGTTACTAGTTTGTGCTTTATGGAAGTCATCAGGATTTATATATTTATGCACTCTTTATGTGCTTTATGGATTCTTATCAGGAATTCGTTTTTACCATGATGTATTTGCCAAGTCTATAAAAAGAAAAGGGGTAAACCCCCAAGCATCTGCTCTTTGCTTTGCTACATGACACTGAGAAGTCTGCCAGGAAGAATCAAGCTTCAGCTCCTTTCAGTGTACTCAGGGCACAAAAAAGTCAATAACTTAAATCTTTCACAGCCAGTTTTGGACTCTTTACCATGGTCACATCATTCACACAAGGAACCCTGGAGTCTATAAGGAAGTATATATATAGTCATGCTCAGAATCAGCATAACCACTGTATAATTGCAAAACTGGGACATTGAGAGTCTTCTTAAAGTAATGAGCTGTAAAAATCAGCACTGTGCAAAGTAGAACAAGTTATCTCAAAGTAAGAATAACTGTTGCTTGCAGCTCTCCGTCAAGGTCCAACGCTCTTTTCTTTCCTTGCATTAACATTTCTGTTTTGTAAAACTCATCCTGACTTCTTTTCCATAAAGCAGTGATTCTTTGTCCGATGAAATCTTCCACTGTCACCCCAGTGGTTCTGTCGCCATCCTTTAAAAATGTCTCCACGCTTGGTTTGGCTAAAAGAGAGAAGCACTGACATTTGTATGCTGTGCCCTTTGTTTCCGAGATGTCCCAAGGCTGTGGTGACAACTGTGGAGTCAGCGATAGCCACAGAGTTGTTCCAGGCGTGGTGTTTTCTGTTAGTAAGAGCTAGTGTTCATCCACAGCCCTTCTATGCAATGTTTAATCTAGAACACTTTATATTGCAAGCACCCTGTTACAGAAAAACCTGTTCCTTTTATCTTTCAGATGCAAAGACGGCTTGAAAGGATTTACATACTCTGCACTAAAGTAAGTATAGATTCTGTGAGTACACGGTTTACAGTGAAGATTTGGAGGAATCCTGCATGGAGGCAGCTGTGTGAGAGAAGTATTCCTAAGAAATAGGAAAGAGAGGAATCTTTCCCAGAGGATTTCTCTCTGGCAAGAGAAGAATATATTTGGGACCATCATTAAAGGAACTGCAGACAATGCAGTTGCTTGTTTTTGAAGGAGCGTTAATATTTCTCTAAGTATCAGGGGTTCTTGATACTCTCCTGGAAGTAAATGGCTCCCTGTTTTGACCTGGACTTTATTTGCTGCATTTACAAGATGTTTAATGAATACAAAGGTAGTTCTGTAGTCAGCATCCAAATAAAGCATGGGTTCCTACCATGGTTGTTTGAGATATCCTCAATATGTGACTAAACTTTGTGTCTGTTGTGGTCCAGGCTCTCCTAGAATTTACTTTGTGATGTGATCCTCTGGTGTTACTCTGTTGTAGTTGTACGAAGTTCTCCCATCTTTGTGTCTTGAGTGAAGAGTACAAAGACACGTTATTCTTCCCTTTCCCTTACATACTCTGCCACCTGTCTGCCACTCAGATCACAGAATGGTTTAGGCTGGAAAGGACCCTAAAGCTCATGCAGTTCATGTGCCATGCAGGGATGCCTTCCACTAGAGCAGGTTGCTCCAAGCCCCTGTGTCTAACCTGGCCTTGAACACTGCCATGGATGGGGCAGCCACACCTTCTCTGGGCACCCTGTGCCAGCGCCTCAGCACCCTCACAGGGAAGAATTTAATCCTTGTATCTAATCTCAGTCTCTCTTTTGGCAGTTTAAAGCCATCCCTCCTTGTCCTGTCCCTACAAGCCCTTGTAAAAAGTCCCTCTCCAGCTTTCTTGTCAACCCTCTTCAGGTACTGGAAGAAAAGAGCTGAAGTCAAGCAAGATAGATTTGCTGTTGTTGGTAGTGGGAAATATAACATTTACAGCTATGAAACAGCCACATTTGATAGAAGGTGACAATGGTTAAATAATACAGTCTGTAGTCCAGAAATGAAAGCAGCCCTATATCAACATGCAGAAACCTGCTTTCGGAAATTACCAGTTCAGTCACATACTGAATGACAAAGCTTTTATACCTTCATCACCCTCAGCAAGACTAACACAGTGTAACTTGCATTATAGTGCAAAGTGTTTGGAAACATCTTGCTCTCGTGTCCTCCACTGCCCTTGATACGCAGTAATTCTACACCTAAGGTGAACCAGTGTATTGACAATATCAAGTTCTGGGTGAAGAAGGAGGGCTGAAGATGAAGCCAAGCAAAACAAAGCTGATGCTCTTGGTGGGAGCAAAAACATTTTGAAGATTTTACACAACAGATATTTTATAAAAATACTACAGTAATTATCAGGCTTTATGTAACCCCATTTTGCTGCAGAGAATGGGGACATTTCATGTGCCCTTCTAATTTTCTTACTTAGTGTTCATCCTTTGTATGTGAGATGTATTTCCCCAGTAATATTTTTGTTCCTAGCTTTAAAACATTCCTGACACCAATTGTGACCATTATTTGAAGTTTAAATATGTGTCCGTGGAGTGATCTTTGCAAAGAGATACAAAGTTTGGCAGCTGTATAGGGTGCAGCCCTGTGGGTCACTTCAAGCTTGTCTTAAACACTTAGAGGCTTAACTGGCCTTTATGTATTTCTTTATTTATATAATGGTTGTTTTGTTTCTTTTCCTCTCAGGTTCATTGTAGGGAAAGAAGAAATCCCCACTCATTCGTTTTCACCTGAAACAGCATTTTCAAAAACAGATAGAAAGATAAAGCCCTGTGAAAAAGTATCACAGCGGATGAACATACTGACTCTGACAAAAAAGCTCATGGACAAAGTGTAAGTCAAAGAAAACAGCAAACAAACGGAACAGAATGAATCATTCTTTACTTAGGGCACTTTAATGCTTTGTTACATTCTATTTGGCAATGCTGTATAATGCTTTTGCTTTTCATTTAAGTGGTTTGCATTGCATTGTTACTGGGTAGTTGGCAGTGGCAAATGATGAACTCTAATAAAAGCAAAATTTCAGACATTTATGTCATAGCAGTGACTTGCAACAGGCACTTGCCTAAGGAGGGAAGGTAAATTCAGTCAATCCTGAGTTGCAGAGCGGTGCTTGCTTTTTCTAAAGTTTTCAGCAAAACAAGTTCATGGGGTGGTTCTGCTGGTGCTTGTAGTGATATTAAGGAGGGGAAATTGCACAGCAGCAGACTTTAGGTCACCATAAGTCACTGTAACGTCATCTTTTTGGGGAGCTACATTCCTGTATTGCATAGCAGGAACTGCCTGAGAACACGGTTGATAGCATGTGGCCTGCCTCCACTGTCGGCAATTGTAAGGCAAGAGTGAGTCTGAAACTGTTTTGCACGAGTTCAGAGCTAGACAGCTGAAGTCAGGTTAGTTAGGCTCACTCCTGGTCTACAGGGTACAGGTTATTACTCTTTAACATGAGCTTGAAGAAATTACATCAGATAGATTTTCAGTTCAGGTGATGTACTTCTCTGTGCTTGATTTGTCAGCTTCAGGTATGTTGGGTACCACAAAGCGACATTCATCTAGAGGAAAGATGAAAAAAATAGATAGGATCTTTTCATACCACAACTATCAATCTTCACTGCCATTGACCTTTCCATGAGCAGTTTTATGACCAGATCTTCACCTGCCGGCATGCAGGAGAGAAACAGCTCTTCCAAGTGCATTGTGTTCTCAAAGTCAGCAGTGGCTTTTCAAGGACAACTGTTTCAGATAACAAAAGACCTCCAAGGAGAAGGCAGCTCCAGCCTCATGCAGATCCTTTTAGCTGAGTTGCTTATACCCATTTTGTCTTAAATAACCTCGTGTTCAATTTGCTAGAGATAGTTCATAGCTCCTCCACTGTTCAATAAATACAAGGATCTGTGGGTGAACAAGAGCATTTTTGCTTTGTTTTTCAATTCCCCACTCAGACATTGAGAAAACTTTCAGATTTCAGTCCTGCTGCTCTCCCAGGTTTCTCCTCCATATGGTTCTTTTCAGTATAATTGAGTCTAAATGCCTGTAACCTGATCACATTCTCATTACAATTTTTGCTGCATAAACTGACCTCACAGATGATTTATGGCCATTACACTTTATAGTACACGACTCAGAACTTCCAGCATATTTGACACAGTATATAAATTGTGTCATTTATTTTGCATTAAAACTTAAATACTTGGCTATAGGAAAATATAATGTTCAGACCCGGTATGACATTACTTCTTGTAATTCTACATAATGCAGGGTTAGCAACTGTACAATACATGTGTCCCACCATCCCAAGCCAGGCTCTTCTAAATACTCAAGGTCAGATTCTCAGTCTGGAGTCAGGGCTACATAAAAATCTACATAGTAGGAGCAGTAGCATAGAAGTGGAAGGCTTGTAATTGAGAGAAGTCTCACAGGGCATCTCTACATTTGTATGTTCTGCATTGCCCTCCAGTGAACCTTACAATGGTATGAAAGATATAAGGATGCAGATATCAAGTATCCTTCCAGAACCACAGAACAGAGACAGGCTGAGAAGGTTCACATCACTTCTCCATGTTCACCATAGCAGAAAATTTGTTCTTTACTTCTGCATTTAATGTGTAGCATGGCAAGAGGTTGCCTCCAAGGAAGTGTGCAGACACTTCTTGCTGTACAACTCAAGTATTGTTAGTTTTTATTATCCTTTTATAACATCATAAAAGTTCACAGTGCCCTTCGGTGGGTAATGGGGAGAATGAGTGGTGGGAAAATAGCACTTTATGTATTTTTAGGCAAGAAAAAATTATGAAGTCTCTTGTTGATGATGCTGAAAACAGCTACGGGTTAATACGTGTTTCATTGTGCTCTTTGCAGGTGCAAACATGGCCCAAGGCACAGATGCTGTAAACACTACGGAGATAATTGCATCTCATATTGTATTAAAGTAAGTGCAGAAAAAAGTTAAATTGACAAACCCTGGCAAAGTCTTTAGTTGGAAAAAGCATATACTTATAGTGAGAAAGGAGCCTGTTACTCATTCTCCTTCTGTTGAAAATGCGACAAGCCTGAAAACAGGTTTTCTCAATTTAGGACGGGGTGGTGGTGGGGTTAAAGTTCCTGGTCTCTCAGATTAGCTGTAGTGAATGAGTAACATACAAATGTGTGGGAAAACATGGGCTAGCAAGCAAGGAACTTGTTTAACTATGTGATGCACTTGAGGGCTGAGCCCACTTGTGGCTCCACCCGAAATCAGTCACTGGGAATGTGCTGCTCTGGCATGCTGCTGCCCAGCCCCGTGCCCACTGCTCCATTATGTTATTTTAAGGGCTCAGGGTAATGAGAGATTGGTCACAGTTGCTGCTCCCAGGATGAACTATTCATGTTCAGTGGCATAATTCATCCTCTATCATTAATGTGATCAGCGTATGTTGCTGGATGGTAACATGACTACTGGATGACTACAGTAGCATGAACACTGGATAGAGATTTAGTTTGGCCGGCATTAGGTTGGCACAGGTGGTACCAACTGCTAATGCCTCTTTTAGGAGTTGGTAAGACTCCAGAAGATCTCCCATCACTTAAACATTCACCCGTTTTTATATATGGAGCAGCAAAAAATGGATTTGAGGATCTTGAGATGCTTTTGATATCAATTACTTTCAAAAATAACTTCTTTAAATTAAAATTCTCCATACAATTAGTGTTATCTCAGAAGCAGTATGCTTAAATTTACCATCAGAAGAGAATTAGTACAACATTCGTTCATGTATGTTTATTAAAAACATCATTTTGTGTTGTATTAACTCTCCTTTTACACTTCAGTATATTAGCATACCACTGTGTAACATGGATATAAGCTGTGCTGGAGTTGGTAGGGTTTGAGATGGTGCTTAAGTGTTCTGCTGAATTACAATGAGAATATGCAGTGGAGCATTCATGAATAGTTTGGGGTAGTTACGTCAGTTTCCTGTTGTAGCTATGACATATTTAACAGAGCCCAGATTAAGGTTATAGTTTTACAACCTCTCACCACCATCTCAATCCACTTAATGTCTCATTCCTGAGCTCTTTCATTCAAGGCGTAACGTCTCTGGGGACACAGACATTCCCTTTGCTTTGTGCTTGTGCAGTGCCTTGCCCAGTAAGTTTGCTGTTCAGTGCCTCCTGGCCTGCTTTGTCTCTCATTCCCTGAATGTTCATGTTTGGTCAGGATCCTCTGGGGAGCAAACATTCCCTGTGCCTTCATTTGCAGACTACTCTATGTTTTTCCCATAGACATCAGTGTCTGGCCTTCATGATCAGTGTGCAAGACTGCAGTGAATATTATATTCAAAACAAAGAAGCGATTTCATGCATTGGCATGCTGCGTTTCCAGATCTCTGCTGATAGTATCTCCTAGCGTGCATCTTATTCCATGGGTGCCTTGCTATAACTTAAGTCTGTTACACTTTTACGTAAAGTGCTGTCTTTCATTACTTAGTCATATTTTACTGTAATTAGTTCTTAACTACTGTTAGTCCAGGTTGCTTTCTGAGATTCTTATTGCACTCACACAAAATCCTTACGCATTGTGCTGCATGCTCAGCAGTCAAATCTCTGTAACTCTCAAATCTCTTGTCACACTGTATTATTTTACAAGTGCAGTTAGAATAAACAAGTAAGATTTTTTGTTCAGCTACTAATGGAACTGATGCTCCTTCTCCATGGAAAACTGTCATGATCTGCTGGAGGAATAGTTTTGCATATGAGTAAAGAGATAGGTGATCTGACCAATATGGAATATCATGAATTTGAAATGCATATAAAACAGAAGGGTGACTGAGAAATAGGAACTAGTCTTGTTAAATTACTCTAGTTGAGAGACACAAATCTGATTTCAGGTTGTGAGTTCTTCAGTTACAGTAGACCAGCCCCACACTACTCTGTCCTTTCTTAACTGAGTGGGGAGATGTGTCAGTGATGAAAAGGAGAAAAAAAAGGGGGGGATATTCAGGAGTCCTTGTCTTCTTTGGTTGTATATTCAGCATCATTTTTACAACGTTTCTCATACCCTTGGAAAGGGATAAGGGGAAAAGAAAATCCAAAAGATGATAGAGCTGAACTAAGTCTAAAGAAGGACATTTTTATAAGGCTGTTCTCTCTTTAGATAAACCAGTTGTGCTTTTAAACTATACTTCATTCTTGGCCCAGTCTTGTATAGCATTTGAGTATAAATTATTCTTGACTGCAATAACATAATCAGAGAAATATCACTGAAGTGGCAGCCAGATCTTTGAATTTCCTGACTTTCTGGGGACTTGTTTTTAAATTATAAGAGAAAAAATTTTCTTCTGATGTATTTGGATTCTTAAAGATCCCAAATCCTTAAAGCATTTTCAGTTCTCTCTGTGGCCGTTCCTGGAGTCGATCAGTAGTAACTGTCAGCTGTCACGAATCGAGCATGTTTTTGTAATTCCATATCTGTAAGGGAACTTTCCAATCTAATAATGATCTGATGAGCTGCTCACTGCCAAAATTTCCCCTCCATGCTGTATTTTTCTGTACCGTTGAGCATCTCATCTTCTCATTATCACATCTGAGCTTTAATTGCCATTTCTTGCCTTTTTCCTCCTGCTTCACATTTAAATGCACATTAGGTAGTTGACAGAATTCATTATAGGTATTAAGTAACATTTAGTGATGTTACCACCTGATTTTATAGACTTTCTTTCACATTCTAAATACCTAAAGTGCTTCAGGTTTGTAAATGTCTGAAAAGAGCCACCAGAAGCAGTCAGAAGATAATTTTTCCTCTTTTGGATTCCACTTGATTCTAATAAGGAGGCATTAGCCAACAGTAGTAGCCCAGTTGTCCATTTGTTCTGCTGATGCTGCAGATGACACCATAGAACCCTCAGACCTTACCTAATGACCAAAGTGATAAAAAATAAATGAGATTATTTCCTGATTATTGTAGTCTCTGTCTTCTGTCTCTTGAAGAAACATGAGCTGCTGTGCAGCCTGAACACATTTTAGGTATCTTAACTAATTCCTAACACATTACAGCAGGTTGACTGAGGTTTGGTACATTACTGAGCTCTGTTCATGTGCACACATGTGCTTTTCTGAATTCGAGTTATTGCCAGTATCTTGACTGTCTCAAAAAAACCAGAAGGTTTGTTTAATGGGTTTTGCAGATGTGGTTTCACCAGGGTGCTGCTTCTGGCTGAGCTGAGTCCCAACTCAAAAGTCTTTGTGGTGAAAGAGCTCTTAGCAGAGTTCTCTTCCCTCACTTATGTTTATTAGTGCCCTGTGTATACTCTACTGTTTTCTACCTCCATTATTACTTGAAATCTTTTTATGGAAGATAAAAGTTACTATATTTGATGTTAATTATAAGATGTAATACTTTTTGTTCCTCTGAAACAAACACCTGTGTGATAAGGATTCACCTGTTTGATGTAATGAGCTGCGGAGAAAGATGTTGTGCGCTATTTCTTGCTGTTTGGTGCACGTCAAAACTAAACCTCAGTCCTTCAGTTCAGCTCTTCTAAGAAGTGGAACTTCTTTATTCATAGCTACTGGGTTATTGGATGACGCAATATATTTTCTTTTGTTTGATTCTCATAAACCATTTCTTGACTAAGAGGGAGAGTAACTGCTTCAGGAAGATGTTATTACTGGATGTTTAACCACAATAGAATTTTATGAACTCCATGGCGCATTATAAAGTTCTGTAGGAGGCAAAAATACTTTTGAGTTTGAAAGGTTGCTCGATCAAACCCTTTGCCAGCTGTATCTGGAATTGTTTCAGTGTCCCTGAGTATCTTCAGAAAATCATGAGCTTGGGGTGCCTACTTTACTTCCTAATGGAGAGTGTACATAGTTTTCACATAAGACATCCTCCAAAGAACAGATTTAATTCAGAATGATTTGAGGAGTTCAGCCATGGGGTAAGAATAATGATAGGAAGCTTTGGAGGAAGTTGTAAGAAACTGGGGAGAAGAATTTGGAAAGAAAAAGTCAGTGTGTTTTTGTGACACGATATAGAAAAGCAGATCTGTATCCAAGGTGCAGCAGTAAGAAAAATTCATTTTAACCACGTTATTCTTTCTCAGTAGCTCTGCACGTAATCTCCCTCTCAGTTTCACCCTTTCTCTTGCTACAGGCATCACTCAGCCTCCAGCTTGGTTGAGGGAAAGTCCATGAGTACGTGCCAAGCCACCAGGGTCACTTTCTAATTCTCACACTTTCTGAAAGTTATTTTTGCGGACTTTTCCCTCCTTTGGTGCTTTCTGCAGGCATCTGAGTGTAGAAGTGCTCTTTTTTTCCACCGCATTACTTTCCTCTGTGTACCCGTTGTGGTTAAAAGCTGGTCGGTAGTCTGGAAATGAAGTCATCAGGATTGTTTCAAAGGACAGAATTTTAGAGGCAGAAGAGAAGTAAGAGATTGTCCCTTGAGGCCTTTCAGATATTCACAGAAATTAAAGGAGAGTCAATTGACTGTGATTTTATTACCTTTGCTATTTTACAGGGGAATCGGGGAAAAAAACCCTAATCTTGAGTTTGAAGATGGGGCTGCATTTTACACTGTGTCTGCAGAGTTGGGTTTTAAACTGCTTGAAGTCAAAAATAAGCACTTCTGTAGATGTTTCTGCTTTTCCTTTTCCTGTATTTGTGGTTTCTTACTACAAAATCTTTCTTTCTTTTCTCTAGGGCTTCATTAGGATGTTTAGCATCGGTTACCTGATCCAGTGTTGCCTTCGGATTCCATCCACCTTCCGGCATCTGTTTACACAACCATCCAGGCTACTTTCACTCTTCTACAACAAGGAAAACTTCCAGCTCGGAGCTTTTCTGGGATCTTTCGTCAGTATATACAAAGTAAGCTTAAAACATACAGAAATGACAAATGCCGTGGGTTTTATTTCACTTTTCAGAATGTCACAGAGACCTAAGTGTAGCCGCTGAATATTACTGGTAGTGTTTGCTCTACAGCAACAAATTCTATAGTATTGCAGTAATCATAGAATCATAGAAAAGTTAGGGTTGGAAAGGAACTTAAGATCATCAAGTTCCAACCCCCCTGCATGGGCAGGGACACCTCACACTAAACCATATCACCCAAGGCCTCATCCAGCCTGGTCTTGAACACTGCCAGGGATCGTAAATAGAAAACTAGTCTTCTATTCTGTGTGCTCTTGCTATCATTTCTAAATAAACCAGGTAGATTGTGCAGCATGGTATCAAGATCAGGAGTTAGGGTGTACTTCAGAGAAAGTGAATTGAGCAGTAGCAGCAGTGTTGCCTCAGAGAAACCATTTGCAGATTGGTTTTGGCTCAAATACCTGGAATTCTAGCTTGACACTAAATAGCAGGAGACTGCAGAACGTATATCACATGCAGCTGAGGAGACACTTGGAAGTGTACCCTTCTACACCATTATAAAATGACAGATTGCAAACTGATGGGCATTCACACAGCATTATTTGGATTAATTAGATGATGTTTATTTATGCCAAAAGAGAATGTGGCAAAACACACACCCTGAGGGAGAATATATTAAATAGTGCAGTGCTGAAGTGGCTTTTGCACTTTTATAGTCTTAATCATACATGTTGTTTTTCAACTGCCACTTCACTGGCTCTGTAGAGTTAAGATAATACTGTATTATTGTGGAAGCTGAAATAATTTTGACGTCTTTTAAAAGCTTCAGTTGCAAAGTGTGGTTTAGTTCTATAGATACTCATTTTACAAGGGTGGTGTGCTCTGACCTTTACTTACAGTTAAGTAAAGGAGAGTATAGGAGCTGAAATGCAGGAGATTGCAAAGAAATACAAGAAAATACATTTTCATGTGAAGGTGGCCAAATATTGGAACAGGTTGCCCAGTGAGGCTGTGTAGTCTCTATACTCGGAGGTGCTCAGAACTCAACTGGACAGGTTCCTGAGATACCTGCTCTAATTAGATCTGCTTCAGGCTGGAGCAGATGATCTCCAGAGGTCCCTTCCAACATAAATCACTCTTTGATTCCATGAAGAGCACACATTAGATGGATTAAAAGGCTGACACGAAGTATCAAGGTATCTCAAAGTAAACACCATTACTATAGTATTAGATACTGTCTCAAAGTGGACATCATTGGACTGTCATACTGAACTATATAATGTTCTGTCGGTGCCATCAGCACTGGATTGAGCTTTACTAAGCGGATCTTGAACCATTAACAGAAATTTACCAGGGGTAAAATTTGGAGACAAAGTATGGCTTTCCAAAACAGTTGAACAAAACAATGCAGAGGATAAGGCAGATATGGAACGGTCCAGATCATTTGGTAACCTGCAGTCATCCAAATGAAATACATTTTAATATAGCCTCAGCCACAATTACGTCTATTCTGGCCTGAACAATTGTGTATTGTTGTCTGTGTCAACTGTATCATGGTGTCTTTTAGCCATATGCAGGTTTAACTTTTTAGGTTAATATGTTTTCCTCGTTCCAGAGTATATTAGATGTATGGAAGAACCTTGAGATGTTTGGCGTATAGTTGAAAACAGACTTTATCGTGGGAAAGTTTAGGCAACTACAGCAAATAAAGATGATGTGAATGCAAGATTAGCGTTGGAATTAGATTGGTATTCAAATTGGATTGATCTGCTGTCTGATTTTGAACATTCTCACATTACACAATTCATACTGTGGGTTATATTCCTAGCCTATAGAGGAGTGTCTCTATACCTTATGAAAGAGAAATAACTAGGACTAATCCTGCTCTCTGTTCACCTACAGGGTACTAGTTGCTTCCTGCGTTGGGTACGAAACCTAGATGATGAGCTTCATGCACTTGTAGCTGGTGAGTCCATGAAAAGAAGTGTATATTGCCTCTGTTGGCACTTTGCCTCTTGTCTGTTCTCTCATTCCCTGTTCTGACTCCTGTGATGAAAACAGGACTCTGTATGTCAAGATTATGTCATGTTTCAGGTAGCTTCAAATAAAGAGTTTCAATTAAAATTGTAAGGCAAATTCAGTCAAATGGCGTGGGTTTTATGGTCAGCTTCAAGGACTTTATACAAATGTAAACTTGTCCTTTATTTTCCAACTGTAGAGGTGTGAGTTTCAAATACTGACTCTTCCATATGTGACAGAAGACCCATTTGAAAGGATGGGCTCCACCGGATACAAAGAAGGACCCTTTGCCATGAGATCTGTGTGTGGTGCAGGCCCTTCCTTGCTGTTTTTTGCATCTGTCACATACTGGAACCTCAAGGGTCTCTCTTTGTGGGATGAGAGAGGAAATTTAAGCCCTGAGCTACAGCTTTGTTTCAGGGTTTCAAAACTTCTCTTTTTAATAACAAAATCCATATTTTGGTGGACAGAACAGGTTGATCACTGAACTTTGTTGTAGCGACAGAAAACAGTCTTGTGCAGCGTCTGCTGAGCTGACATACTGCAGTGTAAATCACAGTCTTAACAATCCTTTTGTTTTCTAATTGTTCCAGGGTGTCTAGCAGGAATTTCCATGATGTTTTACAAAAGTACTACTATCTCTATGTATCTGGCGTCCAAATTAGTAGAGGTAAGATACTACCTTTGTAACAGAGCTCTTTATTTCATCTGTCTTTTCAAGGCAGAAAACCAAAATGACCTGCACAGGCTTTGTTGGATGATTCCAGTATAATACAAAGCTGTGTGGCGGTGGTGTGTTTCAGTACATGTGTGCCAAGAGCAGTGCCTTTCTCTGGTCTCATTTCTTTCTTACTTTCTTTTCTGTGACTCATTTTAAAAGTCCTTTACCCACTGGTCTATGTATGTTCTCCATGAATTTTTTTAATCTCCTGATAGCCCTTTGCTTTGTAGCTTTTGCAGACTTTTTAAATCTGGAAGTTCCAAGAATTCTGCCAGAAACATAAATCAGACCTAGTCCTTAATTGCAGATTTATTGCCAAAAGCTACAGCTTCACTTCCTGCCTTTGTTCCCTAATTTTGGCATTCAACAGCCTGAGATAACTCAAAATAGCTTAGGTTTTAGTCTATAGCTGGAGCTGTTTGTCGGTTTACTTCAACTGATTGAATTCCCAGCTTTGCAATGAGCTTCGTTCTAATTACTGTTTTTCAGGCTTGAATTATGACTATGAACTTGTTCAAATGAGAAGCCCAGGGAAGAATAGAGTTTGTAGAGTGTGGATTCATTGGTGAAACTTTGCTGACCAGTTTCTGATGTCTTACTGTGCTTTTTCCACAAAATCAGGACCTAGTTATGGTTATTTCCTCAACAGCACCACTGGAATAAGTTGGGAACTTTCTCCTATTATACATCATCCCTGAATCACAAAGCAGACCTCAAAGGCCTCGTGTCCTAGTGTTATTTATCCACCTCCACTACCAGAGGAGAATTCATTTCAAAGAATACAAAAAGAAGGAACCTTTATTGTTGTGAAGCATAAAATTAAACATAAAAAGGGAAGATATCCTCTGTTTATTCTTGCTTCTTGTAATCCTAGGCCAAGCTCTGAAGGTAGTTCACATGTTCTGTAAAAGCAAATCTGAGTTATCCATATTGATTTAGAACACCAGTTGTAAAAAAAAACCAATATTATCTTATAATGCTGATGGTTTTCTCTGGACTTTGAGATATTGTGGCTGCAGTGAAATAAGAAAAGTGCTGTATGTTCTTTCTTTCTTTTATCATCTTACGCAAGCCAAGGGTAACTGACCGAAGAGGCGTGTGCTGCTTTGGAAGGTCAAGCTGTGCTCAGGAAAATAAACTTTACATGTTTTCTCAGAAAGTAAAGTATGTGATTTCAAGCTGTTTAAGAACAGTGAATATTCACTTTGTTGGGATAGTTATTGCATTGTTCTTTTGCTTGTTTAAAATGAAGGATTCCACACAGCAAACTTTCCCTTTTTTTATCTCTGAGGTCTGTACTAGCCTTTTTTAACACCCAAAGCTGTTGCTAGGTCCTGTTCTGTGCATTAATAGCCTCTCACTTTATTGATCTTGGGTAACTTCTGTTATCCATCTCCATCAATGTCACATTTCCGGACATACACAAAAATACAGGGGTGTAAGTTAGTAATGTTGACATGGTTTTTTGAAAAGGTAAAATAAGAGTTAAAAAGCTACTTTAACTTTATTTCGCTCATTCAGTATTTTTTTGTTTATTTTTATAGACTATATACTTCAAAGGCATTGAAGCAGGGAAGGTTCCCTATTTTCCTCATGCAGATAGCATCATCTATGCCATTTCCACGTCGATATGCTTTCAGGCAGTAAGTATGATGTTCTTTATGTCAAATGCTGAATGAAATGAGGAGCACAGGGTTACAGTGATTCCAGCAAGTTGCAGTGAATCAGGGCTCCTGCTTTTGAGTGTCATTGTGGGGAGATAATTTCTAGGACTCACATTTCTAATACGCTTGTAGCAGAATACGTTATAGAAAGCACTGAATTCTTTGGAAAGGATATTCAAATGCATTGACCTAGAGGATGAATGTAAATGCATGGACTTTCATAAGCATATGAAAGGACAGTTTGTCAAGGAGACAAAGAGTATATTGTAATATTTTAATACCCGTAAACGTTTTAATACCCATAAAAGTTTTTAATCAACTGGAAGTTTTCACTTGAAGCTAACTTGAAGTTGCCGAATTGAAAAAATCTGCCAAAGTTAATAAGGAAGTCTGAAGGTTTATGTTCAGACAAGCTGTAGTTATCATCGTTTGCACTTCCCAAGTCAGTTGCATACCTTCAGCTTCAGTTCACTTATCAGCTGCATCAGCTGGAAGGTTCCTTTTCAGTGGCACCCAGATTACTCTTCTATTCTACTACATCTCTCCATTCCTAGACCTGCTGCTGAAACATCCCACTGCATGTTTACTGGACCTCCATAACGATGTGTATTTTTTATACCCCTCAATATAGTATAAAATGATCCTAAAAAAGTCTTCTGTGCTTAACAGCATAGTGCCACTCCTCCTCATTGCTCCCAAAGGGAATATCTCTCATTCTAGTATCAAAGAGAACTGATATTTTAATGCTTGGGATGTGCCTAAAGATCTGCAGCACTGAGATCTCCAAAATCACTATTGGCAAGGACTGTCATATCAGGCTAACAGAAATAATGTTTGTATGAGAAAAGAGGAAAGGATTTTTCATTACTTAATAACTGATTGGAAAAAGACTCCAAGAATAGAAGTAAATTGCTAGGTTTAGGAGGGAGGAAGGAAGGAAGGGTAAATTAGCAAAGGGATCTGTGCTGAGACATTTGTTACTCACTATATTCATAAGTGACCTGGAAAAGTAATGAAATATAAGACAAGGATTTTGTTTATATATCATTATTTAAGATATGTAACATGATATATAAAGAAATGGAAGATCACAAAATGCAGTGTGGCATAAATTAGTAGGTAAATTTGGCATCCACAAGTGCAAAATTGTGTGTGTAGGAATAATAAGGATTATTGCTGCTTTCTCTGCAATGAGATCTAAGTTATCTGCCACCACTTTTGAAAGGCAGTCTTGTGGGAATATTGGTATGCTGGTGGTGGGCATAGAGAGCGTTGCATTCAGCTGTGGACTGCTTGTCTGGTGGTAACTCTGGCCATTGGCAGGTGATCACAGCTGCTTTCAGACCATGAATTAGGAGATGATGTTTTAAAAATTAAATACTTATTTGTATTCCATGTAATACATATCCAAATATATATCCATAACTATCCTTTCACTGGGTTTGGCAACGTTCTGTAGCAGCTGAATCTTTTCCCTGGCACTCAGCAGGCTCTGACACAGTTCTCTCCTTGCAGGCTGTCATGGAAGTTCAGAACCTGAGACCTTCATACTGGAAGTTTCTTCTTCGACTAACAAAGGGCAGGTATGTAGTCAGGGGTATGTTATGGCTTGTCCAAGCACATCACTGATCACACTTAGCTTTCCATGTCATTAGCTGTCAACAGCAGAGCTGTAGTAGTACATATGGGCTAATTTCCTGGGTATTTACTTTGCTTTTCAACTGGTTTCCAGTCTGCTGGAAGTTCTTTGCTGCTAAAGTGACGTTGCTGGGTTTAGTCTCATGACAGGAGCAAAGACCTAAATCTAGTTAAGACTATTTAGCAGACGAGGGTTTTACTTGAAGCCTTTTTTATCTTTTAGTTCACTTGGAGGGTGGAATGCTTTCAGATTTCAGTGGAAAATGAAGAATTCAGTAAGCAACTATACAGGCTAAAGAAATCACGTAGTATGTGCAGTGGTTGCCAACATGGTATTAGTAGTAATGTTTAAAAGCATTACTAGAAATGGCAGAGTATTTCCTAAGAATACTTTGAAGATTCATTAGGGCTTTTTTATAGGCCATTTATTTAAATTCAGAAAGGCATCTTTTTTCCTTGGAAAACTAATGAAAAATTTCCACCTACTATAACCATAAATTTACCCTTTAATATCTTACTGGATATTTTTCCTCTTATTTGCTGCAGGGATCTAAAATGCTGACTCTTTAAAATAGGTTTTGCTGGAACTGATTTCTAAAAATACAGTTTAGTGAAGTGTACACTGTTGCTCTGATGTGTAAGGAATCAGTGCAAACATCAGGAACAAGGCATCCAAATCTCAGTGTAGATCAGGTTAGGAATGGGATTATACAACATAACGTCTGTCATGACAATGGGCTCTCCAGACTATAAAAGCAGAAGTGAAATCAGAACCCAGTCCCTGGAACATGTTGAAGCTACGCGCCCCGTGGCACAGCACACTCTTAGCTGGACAAGTGGTGACTGGGTACACTGCTAGACATCGTAAACACCTTTTGGGATGCTTGGAGGCACCCTGCAGGCAACCTCTGAGGCCATACAGACACGATACAGGGGTGACATCAGTGCAGATGTCCAATTTTGGCTGCATTTTTCCCTCTTTTCCTAATTCTAAGATTGCTTTAATTGAAACAGAGGAGGGGAAAGAAATTCTTTTCTGCTTATTCTTTTATCTGAAGTAAGTTTCTGTAATAGTAATTTTGACACTCCATAGCGGTGATTTCTTTTGACATTCCATAGGTCTTTCACTCTACAGTTTTGAATGTGAAATGAAATGGAAATAGGTTGTAACACCCGTAAAATTGTTACCCGGACATGGACAAGCACGGACAGAGTTTGCTCTGCTGGCACAAGAAAGAACAGTAGTGTTTTGTTTGACTTTTCTTTGTGGAGTCAAAAGTGGAATAAGACTCTCCCCTTTGTCACAAGTGTGTTCTATAAAGTACATCTACACAAAGCACTACTAAACAGATATGTCAGATGTGGTTCCTTTTTAATCTTTATTGCCTGAGAGGAAAACTTGCAATCTCTAAACAGTGGAGGCCTGTTTAATACGATTTGGGTGGTGTTCCATGACATGAAATCATTTCAACAATAATTCCACTCTTTTTCATAATTAAATGATTAATCCATTCCTGCCTTCATGTCTCTTCTTTTCCAGGTTTGCTGTTATGAACAGGAAAGCTTTAGATGTATTTGGTACCGAAGCATCTAAGTACTTCAAGGATTTCACACCTAAGCTTGACCCAAGATACACTGTTGTACCACCAGAGCTACCGCTGGAGTTGTCTTGAACACGACAGTGTATCTTGTCATTGAATGTGATCAGCTTTTTGTCCTGAGAAGTTAATTAACTTAACAGTCATATATATGGAGGAGGGCTTGGGCTCCACTTCAGTATTATTTCAATGAGAAATGCTTTTTACCAATCAAAAGTACTGAAGCTTTGCAGGAAAGTGTGGCTTAATGATTAAGCCCCTTCCATAGACAGAAACTATTTTTGGATGACTGTAGTTGGTTGGCAGTCTGGTAGATTCCTGGATGAATTAAACAAATGAGTAATATATTTAGAGAAGTAAAATATAAAGTATCCATAACAACTTCCAGAAAAATCTGTAATTCACAGTAGTAAAACTAAAAGTAATTCTTAATTTAGAAAGGAAGACAAGTGGCATAGTTTAGCTCCAGAATTTTGGCTGATCTTACAGCTGTTGCAGTCAGGTAGAAATGCCTCCTTGGATTTCTAAATTGTGTCACTGCCCACTGGTTATTTAAAACAGCAGTACTTTTACACAGCTGTAGCTGCAAAATAAGGGATTCCTCTGGAAATCTGTGAATCCCACTGGCAATGCGGATAACAGAGAAGGCAAGTGGGAAGGCAATACCAGCTGCTGCTGCGTGGCAAGGAGCAGGGGGTGTGGTGGTTAGGATCTGCCAAGTGGAAAAGGACAGAAGCAGTGGAGGAAGGAATGAAACGTTCCGGGCTCCGAGGTGGTGCTGGGAACAGCCGGCAGTTCCAGACCTAAAAAAAGCAAAGAACAAAACAAAACTCCCCCAAAATACATCGAAATGAAATGTTTGTTTTTAAAGGGCTTGACAGTGTCGCTTTCGATGGCGCATGGGGTTGTTTGTCAAGCTGCAGCGCCAGCCAGCATTTCAAGTGTTTCTTTTAAAGAGAGCTGACCCCCTGAGGTGAGACTCAGAGAATGGTTTTGATGGTCGTTTTAATAGGGTTTTTATCTTGTACTTGGTGGAAAGTGGTTTTCCATCAAGCCATCAGACATCCATGACTGAGACAGTTACATTCAGTTTAATGGGGTACTCAGTGCAAATAACTACCTACACAAATTCCATCTCAATTTTACCCTGAGTATTCCTGCAGATAAGAGCTTGTGTTCTAATGCAAGACCTTGACTTGCTAATTGCTGCTTATTTTTGCTTTTTGGGGCTCTTTTCATATTAGAATCCATTCAGGTGATGCTGAATGGTGTTCGTTACCTAGAGCTTAATGAAAAGATGAACTATATTCACATTCAACTGAAGAGAGACCAGGTAAGCCAGGGAGTGGAAATTGCAGTAGGTTGCATGTGTTTTAAAAAGAAAAAAGAACAAGAAATCGGTATTTTATTGGGAGTCTTTGTCAGATGATATGAATTGGATTAATGAATAGAATCTCTGTCTTGTAATACAGTTCTAAGCGTATTTTAATTCCCACTAGTTTTCTTCTTACTGAATATACAGTAATTTTCATCAGATTTGTAGGAATGTTGTGAAAATCATACCAGTCTGTGCACAAAACCTGCTTCTTCATCAGCTACTGCAGCAGTGATGCTTTATCGCTGGTACTAAAGGTGCTTCATCCTTTCAAACAGCAGTTGTCCAAGTTAGTGTGAATAAAGTTCTGCAAGCTAGTTTGTATGCAGTATCTTATTGCTTGAAATCTTACCTTAAAATTCCTCAAAAGGAAATAAAGAGTTAATTCAACAAGAACTTTTAAAGGATCGTAATAGGTTTGTAGTGTTTTTCCACTGGAATATGGTCTGAAATATTTGATCTTGTAAAGTCTGAGAAGTTATATATTTTAGGTAATATGTTAGAACTCACACACTATATTATGAATACTTTGTAGTGTAACTATGTACCATTCCCAAATGTAAAGGTATTTTATAGATGGATTCATTTTCTTCACTGGAATGACACTTGTGATTGTTTCTCTATTTGAAGTAAGAAAAATCCAAGTACTACATCTCAGCAGCTAAACAACAGTTCTGTCTGCGTTCTCCTGCTTCCAAAATCCACAGTCCTCGTAGCGAGTTATTTTTGTGTAATATAAAAAGAAAAGTTATAAATTATTTTTATTCAGATCAAGTATATGTAAGAGGAAAAAAAAATAAAGTCCTAATGTTTTTCCCAATAATAAACAGTTGCTGCTTGAAAAAGTGACTTTTTGTCTAGGTTGTTGCTAATAAGCCATCTGGAGTCATAAGTGAAGGCATATTGATAGTGAAGGAACACCAGGAAGGTGGTTGAGCATGAAAATCGTGTGGATGCATTACAGAATATAGTCCTAGCACAGTTTAAGTGAAGAGGTAGTGCCAAAAGGGACGACTTCAGCTCCATGCTTCCACAAGTAATCATGCACTGTGGGTGGAGGTTATGTCATGTTTCCTTGTTGAGCAGAGGAGCCCCAAGGTGATGATGAAGACCATGGAAGGCTGCATGACTCTGGCTCTCCCCATGACTGAAATAGCAGTGATTCTTCCCACTGGATGTGGCACAGCTCTCTGGGGACTTGATCATATGATGAGTGTCTGTTCAAAAACATCAATTTTCTTACAAGTAGAAGGTGATTTTGTAAAGAGGAATACAGAGGGACACTTGGGAAATGGTGGGGCAACCTGGAGAAGTTCAGTTTAGGTTGCCTGTAAGGAAGAAATTCTTCACTCTCATGGTGGTGAGGCACTGGCACATGGTGCCCAGAGAATCTGTGGCTGCCCCATCCCTGGCAGTGTTCAAGGTCAGGTTGGACAGGGCTTGGGAGCAACCTAATCTTGTGGGAGGTGTCCCTGCCCGTGGCAGGGTTTGGAACTGGATGGAACTGGTGTTCAGTTCCTTTCCAAGCCAAACCATTCTGTGATTCTAAATGCTGGTCTGGAGGCTTCCGTTTCCAGATTTGTTTTTATGAGCAGTAAGCCCTTCCCCAAGGAGACTGTCATTTCCTTCACTCCAGCCTTTGCTCTGCACCTGGATGAATCCAGCACTGGGAGTACTTGCAAGTGACTGTTTGGGGGTCTCACTTTCACAAGTCAATTCCATTTGCAAAACAGACATGTTTTCTCTCACTCCTTTGAGGATACAGTGGAGTAATTTGATACTTTCTATTGAGCCACTTACAATTTAGTTTCGTGTGCTTACAGTTTAGTAGAAGATCCTGAATGTTCTGTTTATCCTATAGGTACTTTTACAGGAAGATCTGAGGAAAGGATATATTTTGTAAGGAGCCTAAAATTGCCGTTACGGATGTTCTGACAAAGTCATGCCTCGTTCTCCCTTGCCGTTATCCCTGTTGAAATGGATTGCTTCACTCGGGACACAGAACTCACCTTTTGCAGGTGATGGATTATATCCTTCCATCCCCTTCAAACACGATGCTCGTTTTACCAACAGGCTCCTTTGAATGAGGAAACAGAAACGTGAATTAGAGCCCGCTTTGATCTTAAGGACTTCTTTTTCCTGGCACAGCCCCGCAAGTTTTCCACTTGCTAATTAAGACAGAGAGTGGTCAGAGGAATTCCAGCTATTAATGCCAAGGCTTTACCCAGGCTTGGAAATCCAGGAGGACGATTAACCTCACACTGGAGGAATCCAGTCGATGCTTTTTCCCCTCAGCTGCTACAGCGGAGACACAAAGAACTGCCATGGCTGTTGGGAGTAGGAGCTGAAGGGACTGGTCTCAAGGCTGCTTGAAGGTGACAGAAGACCCGATCACACAGGGTCAGGGACAAAACAAAAGCTTTTTTTCTGTGTTTCCCTGTTATTTTAAAGAGTGAAGTCCTGCTTTCCCACTGCAGGCAGTAACAGCTTGTGAGAAGGGGCAGACAGGGCTGGGGTGAACAGACATTAAGCTGCTGCTGCTTGCACCCTTTTGATATGAACTTCAACAGAGTTCTGAACAGCCCGGAGATGTTTTGCTCATTGTGTATTGGCTGTGAATAATAAATAAACAGATAATCGGGTATTTCCAGCCCAGGTCACTTGTGATTATATTCCCAACCTAATTTAATAGAATCATAGAATCAGCTGGGCTGGAAAAGACCTTTAAGATCATCAAGTCCAACCGTTGCCTAGCACTGCCAAGGCCACCACTAACCCATGGCACTGAGGGCCACATCTATGCGGTGTGTGAACACTTCCAGGGACCATGACTCCAGCACTGCCCTGGGCAGCCTGTTCCAATGCCTGAGCCATGCTATCAGTGAAGAAATTGTTCCTAATACCCAGTCTAAACTCCCTGGTGCAGCTTGAGGCCATTTCTTCTTGTCCTATCACTTGTTACTTGGGAGAAGAGACCAACCACTGGTCTGATTGTCTCAAATCACTGATGTCTCAAACCGTCTTGCACCAAAATGCTTGGGTACAAACAGTATCATAAACAGTTTGAAACCAGGGCAGAAACTGACCCTCTGGTTCACCCATGACATTTTCTGTGTGATGCCCATAGCCTTGTTGGAGGGGACAGCTCTGCTGGCCATGCTGCCTGCACAGGGTTGAGCTCCTCTTGGTCTTGTCTACATCTCTGAAGGCACATGACCTTGATTCCTCAGCTGGCATACCAGGGGTGATGGAGAAGGGGCCTTGAGCAACCTGGTCTGTAATGTAGGGGAAGGTGCTCCTGCCTGTGGCAGGGCATTGGAACTGGATGAGCTTAAGGTCCTTTCTGACCTGAACTGTTCTGTGGTCAGGTGCCACTGTACCTCAGACACAGCCTTTAGAGCAACCAAGCTCTGTCCTCACTTGGTCCCAAAAGCAAAGCAGTGTTGCTCATGCAGGGGCTATCTGGGAAGTGAATGTGACTTGATGACTGCTTTGTGTCTGCAGGCTTAAAAGGAGCAGAAGTCATCAACATTCATTCATGTTTTTCTGGATGGCACCATCTTCATCTGCCCACTTACAGCTTGCTGAAATCAGTGCAGGAAACCTGTGGCCTGCAAGCACAACCTCCACATCATCAAGCCCAAGGCCATTTTCCACCACAGGCTTCCTCTGACGTCTTGCAGTCTGTTCATCAAGGAGTCAACCTGGCTGCTTAGATCACTCCTGGTGCACTGGACTGAGCCAGACTGGCTGCTGTGGTCAGAAACGTGCCCAATGGCCTCCTGCAACTTGCAGCATGCAGAACAAAGCTGCACTGATGGAAAGCCTCCTTTGATATCTTTGATATCCCTTTGATAGTGCTTTTCATGTGTTGGCCTGCTGGAAGTGTGGCTCCATGGAGTCTCTGGTGATCGGTTGCTTTGTGAGCACAACCTTGGGCTTCGTGTTCACTGTTCTGTAGCTCCAGATAGGTTCAAACTGAAACAGGGGAAGTTTAGATCGGATATAAGGAAGAAGTTCTTTAATGGTGCTGAGGCGCTGGCACAGGGTGCCCAGAGAACCTGTGGCTGCCCCATCGCTGGCAGTGCCCAAGGCCAGGTTGGACACAGCCTTGGGTGGCATGGTTTAGTGTGAGGTATCCCTGCCCATGGCAGGGGGTTGGAACTTGATGATCTTAAGGTCCTTTCCAACCCAAACCATTCTGTGATTCTACGACTCAATAGAAGGAGCCTGAA